GATTTCTGGTACGCAGACTGTAATATGGAGTCATTATTTTCCTCGATTCGGGATTAAAATTGGTGACTTGGGACACCCTAAATCTCCCAAGTGGCGACTCTGAAATAAATAAACAAATCCCGTTTCGATTGTCCTTTAATTGAAAAAAACTCCCTTGTACCCTCGCGGGTGCGGAAAAAGGAGGTGTGACAGTGATTCCCTTCGGCTTAACCAATGCACCGGCCACATTTTGCACCCTTATGAACAAGATTTTTCATCCCTACCTTGATCATTTCGTGGTAGTCTACCTAGATGACATAGTCATCCACAGTAACACCTTGGAGGAACACATGGAGCACTTAAGGAAAGTTTTCCAAGTCTTGCGGGAGAACGAGCTATACATCAAGAGAGAGAAGTGTGAGTTTGCACAATCAAAGGTGCACTTCTTGGACCATGTCATTAGCAATGGCGAGCTACACATGGACGATGCTAAGGTACGTGCTATCCAGGAGTGGGAGGCACCCATAAAGGTAACTGAGTTGAGATCCTTCCTTTGCTTTGTTAACTACTATCGTTGGTTCATCAGTGGATACTCAGCAAAGGTCGTACCATTGACTGAGTTGCTAAAGAAGAACAAGCCATGGGTTTGGACGGAGCATTGTTAAAAAGCGTTTGAAAGCCTTAAGGCAACTGTAATAGAGGAGCCAGTCTTGGCATTACCTGACTTTGCCAAGACTTTTGAAGTGCACACAGATGCCTCAGACTTTGCCAATTTAGGGTGTCCTAATATAGGATAATCATGTCATAGCATTTGAGAGTCGCAAGTTAAATGAGACGGGGTGATGTTATACGGTACAAGAGAAGGAAATGACTGCCATTGTGCATTGCCTTCGTACATGGAGACATTATCTGCTCGGGTCGAGGTTTGTGGTCAAGACTAATAATGTGGCTACTAGCTACTTTCAGACACAGAAGAAGCTCACAACAAAGAAGGCTAGGTGGCAGGATTTCTTGGCCAAGTTTGATTATGCACTAGAGTATAAGCCGGGCAAAGCTAACGTTGTTGCCGATGCCTTGAGCCAGAAAGTCGAGCTTGCTACAATCACTTCAGCGAGATGGGATATTCGGAAGGCTATAAAATAAGGCATGCAACATGATCCAACAGCTAACCAACTTATCGAGTTAGCCTACCAGAGCAAGACGAGACGTTTTTGGGTAGAAGATGGCATATTTCTTACCACGGGTCGGCGGGTCTACGTTCCTAAGTTTGAAGACATTAGACGGAGGATCATTAGGGAGAGTCATGATACAATGTGGGCTGGTCATCCAGGCCAACGTCGTACCAGGGCCTTGGTTGAGTCAGTCTACTATTGGCCACGCATGCGAGATGATATAAAATGTTATGTGCAGACTTGTCTTGTATGTCAGCAGAACAATGTTAAGCAACAACAGCCCGGAGGACTTTTGGAGCCACTACCAGTTGCAGAGCGTCCATGGGAGAGTGTGACTATGGACTTTATCACTTTCCTACCAAGGTCCAACGGTTATGGTACTATTATGGTGGTCGTGGATAGATTTTTCAAATATGCCACCTTCATGCCCGCCTCACTAGTTTGCATAGCCAAGGAAGCCGCCAAGTTATTCTTTAAGAACGTGGTGAAGTATTGGGGCTTACCAAGGCATATAATCAGTGATCGAAACCCTCGCTTTACTGGAAACTTTTGGAGAGAGTTGTTTGATATACTTGGTACGGAGCTGCACTTTTCTACTAGTTTCCACCCAAAGACAGATGGACAAACGGAACGAATCAATGCTTACTAGAGTGCTACTTGAGGCATTATGTAAGCGCGCATCAGAAAGATTGGGCAAGGCTCATAGATATCGCCCAATTCTCTTATAACTTGCAGCGGAGTGAGTCCACGGGACGGACACCATTTGAGCTAGCCACAGGCCAACAACCACAAACTCCACATTCCTTACGGGGGCTTATCATATGGCCAAAGGATGGGAGGAACAGCTCGACACTGCTAAGTCCTACTTGGATAAGGCAACTAAGAAGATAAAAACGTTTGTGGACTGTAAGCGGCGTTCCACATACTATAGAGTTGGGGACATGGTCATGGTGAAGTTTAACCTAAGACAGTTCAAGGCACTACGGGGCATGCATCAGAATCTGATTCGCAAGTATGAGGGGCCATTTAAGATCGTCGCCAAGGTAGGCAAGATCTCATACAAACTTGACATGCCATCGTATCTTAAGATCTACCCTATCTTTCATGCCAGCATGCTTAAGCCATATCATGAAGATAAGGATGATCCGAGTAGGGGCCAATCAAGTCGGGCGCCAATGACTATCACCGCTTCGCATGATCGGGAGATTGAGGCTATCATAGATTACCAGACCAGGCGAAAACAAGGGAAAAAAGCCACTGCTATGTTCCTCGTCCATTGGAAAGGGCAATCACCGGAGGAGGCCACGTGGGAACGATATGAAGACTTGTGGCAATTCAAAGATAAGATTCGAAAGTTTATGCAGCAACATTGCGCCGCGGTCGTCACTATATTGGGTGGGGGAGAGTGTGATGACCGGCTATGTCATCATGCCACATAGGCGCCATTTGGCATATATTAATGCCATGTGGAAGCTTACATAAGAATAAGGCTAGCATTTGTGAGAAGATTCTAGAGAGGTATGGACATTTCCTTAGGAAGAACCTAGATCCTTATGGATTTGCTAGAAAAGTCCTTGGAATCTTCTAGGCTTGTAGTGAATTCTAGAAAAAGTCCTTATCTTGTAAATATCAAGGACTTGTGCAATAATTAATATTTACACACTAGCCCCTAGGAGACTAGTATATAAAGGGGATCATTCATTTGTAATTTATCAAGCAAACAATTTAAGTTCTCTCTAATACAAAGCTTTAACAATTCTCTTGTGTTCTTTCTTCCATTCTCTTAGATCTTGAGTGTAGTAAAGCTGACTTGACATAGCAAGAACATGAGCAAATTGTGCAAGATCGTGAACGAGTTGTCAAGTGCCACACGTGTACTTAGTTAACAACTAAGGACATGACAACTTACTATTACTTCCACCTCTACTTATTCTCAACTACAAAAAGTGGTGTGTTTATTACTATATTTACAAAAAATGAAAGGTTGGATCACACTATCTTAGAAAGTTCGAAATTTTGTCAGCGCAATTTTTATACAAATAAATACTATTGTATCATATGCTTTTTGACACTTGTACCATAGTCTAACATGTTCAAATCCTTTTGACATTATTAACTTTAGTTTAAAAAGAAAAGTAAAAGAGAAAAGGAAATCCACATAAGTGGATAGTACATTGGTATTTGTTAGTGGATGGTAAAAGAATAAACCATGGAAATCTCGTAACTGTGTGGAGTTTAGTGGAGTACTCTTTTGTGACATAAAAAATTATCTCAACTGAGGGTGGAGGATGACTAGGGCTTTGGATGATTGAGCTGAATCTTTTAAGTATTTATCAAACAACTTATGCACAACTTTCCAGCAAGTGGGTTTCTATTATTAGTATTTTCTTCTTTTTAGGACGATAGAGGGAGTATATTTTAATTTAAGTAAAAGGAAGGGAGACTTGTAGGTACGAACAATCTATTGTATTTTTGTTGGATTTTTCAAGCTCATAATCATATTATAAATAACTATACTCACTAAAACAGAAGGACCAGTATAGAAGCTAGAAGTAGCTGGCCTATAGTAATCGGCTTTATAATATTTGTAGACATTTTGGTGTGTTAGTTTAATTTCTATCAATTGGAGTTTCTATTTTGTTAGCAATGGAATAATTTATCGAAAAGTACTAAAGTGGACGATAAAAGTTCCCTTGCAGAAGTTACTTAAAAGCTAATGTGTATTAATTTTTGGATTGCACTTAATGATAAGGAAGCTTTAGCTAGTAGCTAGATTACTCTATATGGGACTACCAAAAGATGTGGTGGGATGAATGAGATTCTTTTATTCTTAATCAAAGGTCTCAAGTTCGAACTACGGATTGGGAGTAAGAACTTCTTAATAAAAAGCGTTTTATCCCTTAGTAGGTCTATGGGTAGTGAATCAGGATTAGTCCTATAAGTAGAGCTCGGATACCAAATGGTTAAAGAAAAAATCTCCATATGACTATTGAGAAAGGGAAGAGAGTAAACGAGTGGTATTTGTTAATTGTGAAGAGGAGGGTTAATAATCAGAGGAGGATTTATATAGAGGGAAAGGGGTGGTACGTCACCCGATCGCTCCGGTAAAACTTTATATTAGTATTAGTATCCCACTGATATTTCATGAAAAAAAAGAAGATATAACTAAAGTGTGGCACCCTGAGTGTCAAATTTATGGTAGGTGCCACAGTCCAAGTGCTTACTGCCAGGTCCAAGGCCCGGGATCGATCTCTTTCAGTCATGTTTTACCAAAGCCTAGTTTGCTTTTCATTGTTCCCTCGTTTTCAGATTTTTCTTTTCATCTTTTTCTCTTAATTTCTTATTTTCATCTTTGTATTCTCTCTCTATACAGTTTCATTTTTATTAGTTATTTAGATTATAAAAGTATATTTATTTTTATTTTCTTTTTCTATATCTTGATTTTGAAATTTTAATATGCTTTTAATCATTTTTCTTTTGACTAATTAATGTTAATTTTTCCTTGAAGGACAAAGATTTTTAGTTTGGTTATCACTTGTGTATTTATGTACCAAAAAATCTTATAAAGTGAATCGAATTAATTAAAAATTGAATCAAACGGAACCGAACTAATTCAAAACTCTAGCCAAATGTACATCCTAATTCAACCTCCTCGGCTAGAGGTAAGTTTACATCAATGATAATGGCACCCGCAACCATCAAATTCTAGATTCGCCTCTGTTGATAATGGTACGTGCCACAAAACATACCATGAGCTAGGATAGTGAAAATTGTCCATGTTATTGGGAGCAGTTAAATAACATGGACCATAGTGAATTTGCAAAAGTAACAGTGAGGGAAGCAATTCACCAGACCACACTACAGGAAATCACGACAAAAGTCGCTACTATAACATAGAAAGTCACCACAACATCCATTTAGTGGCGGCATTCGAGTCACTCCAAGTACTACTGAAATTGAATGTTATTAAATTCGAAAACTAATGGTTAATTAAGTTAACCAATCTAACTTAATTTGTCCAAAATTTTAGAGATATATAATATGATACAGTCTCATGGTTATTGTATAAGAGTTTCGTAGAGTTTATATTATTATACGCAAATCATTATATTACATTATAAGCGTTTAGACGATGTAGCATTTTTGCCGGTGATTTTCGTACTTCTCTTATCGCTTCGTATTTCTAGTTTCCTTTTATCTTACTCCTTGCCATTGTTTGTTTATTACATCATTTTCACTGTTCTTGAGCCGAGATTCTATCGGAAACAGTCTCTCTTCCTTCATAAGATAGTAGTAAGATTTGCGTACACATTACTTTCCCCAGACCCTGTGTATGGGATTGCACTGAATTTGTTGTTGTTATTATTGTTGTTGTTATATAAGCATAGCTAACAAAAGGAAATAATCTTCTATCCCCCGTTGCAATTTGAATAAAAGAAAACTGTTAAATGGAGAGAACTTCTATGACTGCAGAGGATTTCTCAGAAGAAGCT